GTGCGGCTGTCTCTCGAGTAGACCACTTCCGGGTTCGCAGTCTCCTCAGCGAACCCACACCTCCGGAAGCTCACACAGAGACACATGGAGAGACGGAGAGCAAACCAATACAACACACGGAAAACATAAACATAAACATACACTGAAAATGCCTGAGCCCTGGGTCCCTAGACAAAGGCCATGACAACCCCCCCCCCACCCCCACCCCTTCCCTCTCCCTGCTAATAGCAGTGACAATGCTATAACTGAGAGAAAAAACAACAATCCTTGGATATAGAATGCTTTAAAAAGAAACAAGAATTGAGAAAAAAGAAAACCAAAACAAGAAAAGAAAAGAATCCGTCATTCCGTATTTCCATAAAAACTAATGTGCAAAAAAAGCAAAAAAAGAAAGAGAAAATGGAGATTATACCATAAATTAAGGTAATAATTGATTGCCTATAATGGTATTTCATTTAATATGTACATTGATTCTTTTTAGTGTTTAGTGTTTTCATAATTCTTTTCCACAAAGATGTATATCCTCTGTTTGAGGACCAGCTGTAATCAGCACACAGCTGGTTTGAGGGGAGATGTTGCTTAACCTCAAAGTTTATCGTTACACCAGCCATCACCAACAGCTGTCTGTGATAGAGTGGATGGCACACTGTGTGTATCAATGGGATAGAGGAGATTTTTTGACTTAATTTCCCAATCAGCTTTTGTCATTGAGTTGCTTCTCCAGCAGTGAGATCTGTGGACATAGTTGGGGAAAATCTGAACTTCTGTATGAAAAGTTGAGCAGATTTGTGGCACAGGCTGGACAAACGATTAGAAGTAAAGGCATACAGGAGTGGATTCAGGGCACTGTTTACAAATATTATTGCTGCAACAGTGCGCCTAATGTCATCACAAAATTTCAGCAGGCCCTCGTTCTTTAGGGAAATCGCTGCCATGCTAATTACATTAATGACAAGATATGGCGCCCACAGGACAACCAAGGTCACAGTGATGCTGGTAATCAGTCTGGTGGTCTGTGGATTGTTGAAAAGTACTGCCCGACTCACTTTTCTGTACAGATTGATGTATGAAAAAACAATGACAGAAAGCGACACAAATCCTACAAGAGTCTCTGACAACACCACAGCCATCCTCTGGCCCTCGAAGGAGTATTGATTACTGCATGTTGTCCATCGCTGATCTTCAGATAACTGTCGAAAAACTAAAGCAGGAGTGGACAGGATCATCGAAGCCAGCCAGAGCGGAAGCAGCAGCATCTTTGCTCTTACCCTATTTAAACTCCTCTGCAGGTGAACGACCTGAAGGTATCGCTGGACACTCAGCACAGTTAAAGTCAGCAGGCTGGTATAAAGACTGCAATACACAAAGTATGTTATGATTTTGCAGCCCACCAGCCTAAAGGTCCACCCATAGAGGAATGAGTAAATCCACAGTGGAAGGGTAACCAAGCAGAGCAGGTCTGACACAGCCAGACTCAGCATCAAACTTTGACTCAAACTGGACATGTTCTCCCAGTTTGGCTTGAGAATGATCACAGCAATGTTTCCAGGAAATCCCATCAGGAAGCAGATGGACATCACTACTGCAGGAACCAGACCCCTGGAGTCCAAGGAAGGATGAGGTGAATCTCCAGGAGAGGAAGACATGTTAGAAGTAACCATGGTGGAGTTGAATTGTGCCATGCTGCAAACTTGCTGACTGTTGTGCACTGAACAAGTGATGGTGATGATAAATGTGCAGCCACATGAACAAGTCGTTACTTTTGATGAAGTCAAAGAGGAACTAATAATAAAGATACTGTGATGCTGATCCAAACATTTGCATTGATGGTTTCAGGATTTTTGCATGACTTTTTCTATAAATCTTTGCATTTATTTCCATTTATTCAGAGAGCACCAGTGTAAGAACATCTAGAAACAAAAGTTAAACTTTATCACTTTGATGTCATCAAATTGTAGATTTTCTACAATTTGAGCCATTAAACATCATAGAAGCCTAGAAATGTGGGTGGACAGCTATGGTTTTTTTTGTTGTTGTTGTTTTTTTACAATGAGGACAGCATTTATTGGGAGCTGTGGATGTGTTTATTTTATTTCCAGCTGGGCATTTCTGGATTTTTGCATTTTTGTATCCAAGCATATTTGCATGTCTTTCGCTAACTTTCACATGAGCTTTTTTTAGACATAGAGTGGAAAATGAAACCACATCAAATGTTTTTTCCACCCGCAAATCATCTTAAGATGGCCGGGCAATAACATGAGTGAGGCACAAGCTCATTATTAGCTCATTCCCTCTCTTATCCTGTTCATCTTAGTCTTGTCTCTGTCTGTTCTTCCTACCATCCCCTATATGTAGTCTGTCATGTCCCCATGCTTGTTTATCTTTTGTCTATGCCAAGTTTGTGTGTCTTAGCATAAACACTCACTGTTTACTAGAGACAAAGACCATATCTATAATCACCCTCTTGGTTATCTGAATCTCCAAAGACTGTTATTTCTCCTGAGCTAATCCCTCCACTAATCTTAACCCCAGTGTGAGAGCAGCCAGGGCCAGGTTCCAGCCAGTCCCTGAACCTTTCCTTGTTCCTAGGGTGAGGCTGTCCCATACCCAACTTGTCCCTGCAACTCTCAAGGTGAGATCAATTGGGGTCTATTCTGTCCATACACTCATCCCTCTTCCTAGGGTGAAGGTAACAAAGACCCAGGAGGTGAGATGGTGGTGCTCAGTGGCAAAGACATCTGATGATTTGATGTATCAGAACTGTTATGTGCAGGCCGGTGTACCAGGTGTTTACATCTGAGTCAGACAGGAAGCAGGACATGCATGCAGTAAAGGGAAGTTGCAGAGGAGGGTGGCTGGGGTGTTTTCAAGCCATAGGTGGAAATTGAGGAGCGTGAGCAGAGAGACTTAAATGATGCAGTGAGATTCACACCTATTAAATATCCCAAGATCTGCCACTGGATCCTTGAAGTCTTTGTAAATACGTCTGAACATTGTGAGATTATTATATTATCTTATGCCATGTTAGACCCCTAATTAAAGATTGTGAAATCAGTTTGTAGTTTTAGTTTGCATTATTCTCCTGACTTAGAAGAAGGTGATAACTAGTACAGTTATTAAACTGATTTGTATTAAATTAGATTGCAGATTTATGGTGAATGATATTGTTTTATGTTGCATGCTACTGCTGCGTTATAAGAAATATCATTTTCAGAGAATCATGTCCTTATTTGTCTGATTAGAAAAGAACTGAACATACTGCACAGGAAGCCAAGGTCATAACTTAGGCTCACTGAGAGAGAGAAAGAATGTGGATGTTTAGGTTTTATGACTGTGGAGGGGGCTGAAGGTATAAGAATGTGAGAAACGCTCAGACACGACGAGATCAGGCGGACACCCTCCCGCGCTCATCTCCCCTCCGGATGGTTTATGCTCAAAAGTGTTGTATGGAATAATGAGAATTGTATGGAATAAAATGATTGTTGATTGAGCATTTATACACCGAGTGTTGTCCTTCCTTCAGCCCAAAGATCAAAGAACTGAGAATTTAACAACATACAAAGCAGTGGGTTTATGGGAGGCAAAGACCTGGTGTGACTTTGCAAGAAAGATTTTTGAAGCAGGACAGTGGTCACGGTCCTGGGTCTGTGACCCAGTGTTTTGTGTTGTTTATTATTAGTCTTTGCTTTTGTGTTATTTAGAGTTCTTAGTCTTTTGGTTTCTGTATTTGTCTTCCCTGGCAGGCATATCCCCTTGTCAAGCCCGCGTCTCTGTGTTATGTTTCCTGTTTTACTTTGCTTCCCCTTGTTCGTGTCATGTTTGATTACTCCCAGCTGTGCTCTACTCCTTTATCTCGTTCCCTCGTTATCCCACTGCGTATTTAAGCCCTGTGTTTTCCGATCTCCTTATTCCATGGTGTGTGTTCTGCCTGTTTAAGTTAGGCTACATTCACACTGCAGACGAAAGCGCATCAAATCTGACTTTTTTGACCATATGCGACCCATATCGGCTCATAGGATGACAGTTCTAACAGCACAAATCCGATATTTACAAATCCGACTTTGGCCACTTTCATATGTGGTACTGAATCCGATACATATCTGATGTTTTAGAAAGCGACTGCTGTTTGAATGGTCATGTCACATTAAATCCATCTTTTATGTCACTGGCACAAGACAGACACCAATTATCAGTGCCGGAGAAGACAAACGAGAAAGTATGGCAGTGGAAACTGGAGATGGAGCGAGTCAATAGACAGAAAGTGAGGTTTTGGACTAGTTTAGCATATGGGGAGACAATTCTATTCAAGCTAAACTTGAATAACTAGCACTGTGGCCGCCATTTTTACTTCCGTAAACAGAGCGCGTTGTGTGTGACGTCTTCTTTTGCACATGCCGGCCACTTTGAGGGCCGTGAACCGTTCACACTAGAGCGTGTTTGCTGTCATATTTTATTTGTGGTGTGAACAACCAGACAAAAACAATCGGATTTGATCAAAAAATCGGAATTGAGCATTAAGACCTGCAGTGTGAACATAGCTTTAGTTTCAGTTTTTTGCCCTCCTGCAATAAAAGCTGAGTTTTGCGTTCACGTTTGCCTCCTGGAGTCTGCATTTTGGGTCCTCCATTCCTGTCTGCTGCACACAGTCCATGACAACAGCAGAATCTATTTACAGATTTACTGTAAATAAGAAGACTGAGGTAAGGTAATTATTTTGTAGATTTATACATATAATACAACGGAGAAAAAAAAGAAAATCAAGTTGTTTTAAAATGTGAACATGATTGAATGTAATGTTTTTTGATACAAGAATGTGTGGAAGAAAAACGAACATGGCTAAAAGAAATAAAAAATGGTGTAAAATTCTTTTTAATAACAAGATGAGGAAGACCCTGCAGAAAATGACTTTTGAGAAAGTCATTAATGGACACAGAAGTAGCTTTTCAAGAAAATAAGGGGAATTCATTTCTGCTGCAATATTGTTTTCTTAGGTAAGACATAATCAGTCAGTTGCTTTGTTTTTTGTTTTGGCTCATATTACCATGAAGTATCAAAGCCTCTACTGCGATCTAGTGGTAAAGCATAATATTGCTATACAAGAGGCCAAAAGCAGCGAAAGCAGATGATATTTTAAGCTGAAGAGTAAATACGCTAATAGAATAACAATTCTTCAACACGTCATGGGGCATTTCAGTGAAAGAACAATGCAAAGCTTCGTTGAGATTTTCCAGTGAATACAATCACAGAGGCGGTGAAAGAATTGAAGTGAGTGAAGCTTTCAAAAATAAAAATACATTTCTCTAAAACCTTTTCTGAAGGAAGAAGAGAACACACACACAGGTACTCTGTAACGGTGCCAGATATAGTTGTACCTTTACAGGTTTTAGTTAAACAGTTGAGAAATGTGCATAATATGATGCACTGTAAAAAAACAAAAAAACAAAACAAAACTGTGCAACAGTACATAAAACAATTGGTTCCACTGTAACCAATTACAACAGGGAAGTGATGTTAATCTTATTTACTGCATCAGTATTAATAATCTCATGCTATACAGAGTTGCAGGAGACGATTTAACTACTTTTTGTGTTGTTTCTACATTTAATGCATTTCTACATATTATATTACTTACATATGGTATTTGGGAAATTTACTTTATTATTGAGTGTTGTGGATGTTTTCCATTTAAATAAAGCCTGCAGACAAGCGGTGAGCGGTAGCTAACATTCTTTAATCACAAACAAAGAACAGAAAAACCAAGCTTGGTGGAGAGCCTGCATGACCGCGGGGCAGACAGTCAGCAGTCTATTACTGAGCCTAGCATGGCTCCCAGTTAAATACCTACTCCAGGAACAAAAGGCAGTACACAGTTGTTTCACACCTTAAGGTTCACACTCCCTTGCTACCTCCCAGAGTCATCGAAGAGACAAAAGATTCTTCCTGTGGAGTTGTCTGCTTCCCCCCAACTTCCTTACCAGACCCCCACCATCTGTCTAACTGCATGAGTGTGAGACATGCTAAAATCCAGTGGCACCAAGGCATTATACAATAAAATAATGTGATTAATACATAAATAAAAGAAATTCCTATACATTGAGTGAGGTCAATCACTAGTTAGCCAGCTGCTCTCATCAAATCCTCGGGAACATAGATAAGCACAAACACATCATCAGAACTGGCAAACATTTCTCTAAGAAATATTAAAACTATTACAAAACATTTTCAGCTATAGTGAAGTCATTTTTCATTGTGTTCCCACTCTTACCAGGAAGAACACACAGCTGCTTCCTCTAATGTAATTGGTCTTTTAATTCTTTCAACATTTGTCTGCTTCCCTGTCAACAAACATGTATTTTCACATTTAGAGCTTAAACCAAAAACTCATTGTGACAAATAGAGAGCACCACAACCTACATGTAACAGCAGGAGAGAAATCACTTGACCAAAAGATGCCTTTTCCAATGTCACAAGGGAAAATTAATTCCCCTGAGAGCTTTTAACATTGAGATATTGCTTCTGTACTGATATCTCTTGACAGAGTCAGATTTGGGGAATTTCTGAACTTCTGTATGAAGTGTTCAGCAAATTTTTGGCGCAGAGTGGTCAAACGGATTGAAGTGAAGGCGTACAGGAGTGGATTCACTGCACTATTTATAAATGTTAGTGCTCCAACAATGCTCCAGCTGTCTTCACAAAACTTCAGCAGTCCCTCGTTTTTCAAGGAAATAGCTGCCACACCCAACACATTTATAGAAAGATATGGCATCCACAGGACAACAGAGGTCACAATGATCCTGGTAATTAGTCTGTTGGTCTGTGAATTGTTGAAAAACGCTGCCCGATTCACCTTTCTGTAGAGACGGATGTATGTAAACATTATGACAGAAAGTGAAAGAAATACTACAAGAGTCTCTGCCAACACCACAGCCAACCTCTGGCCATCAGAAGAGTGTTTATTTTTGCATTTTGTCCACTGTCGTTGTTCCACCAGCTTTCGAACTACCAACTCAGGAGTGGACAGGATCATTGCAGCCAGCCAGAGTGGAACCAGCAGCTTCCATGCTTCAACCTGCTTTAAACTCGTTTGCAGGTGAACGACCTGAAGGTAACGCTGGACACTCAGCAGAGTCACAGTCAGCAGGCTGACATGAATGGTGCAATACACAAAGTATGTAATGAGTTTGCAAGATGCCTCACCTATCATCCAGCTATTGAGGAAAGAGTAAATCCACACTGGAATGGTAATTATGCAGAGCAGGTCTGACACAGCCAGACTCAGCATCAAACTCTGGCTCAGACTGGACATGTTCTCCCAGTTTGGCTTGAGAATGATGACAGCGATGTTTCCAGGGAATCCCATCAGGAAGCAGATGGACATCACCACTGTAGGAGCCATGCCTGTGGACCAGGAGGTGATGGGTGAATATCCAGGAGTGGAGGAAAAGTTAAGGGTATTCACTGTGGCGGTGAGTTGTGCCATGCTTCAAGCTTGCTGACAATGTTGTGCACTAAGCAAGTTATTATAATAGATGTACCATCAGGTGAACAAGTTGTTCTCATTTGATGCTGTCAAAGGGGAACTAATAAGAAAGAAACTGTTGTGTTGACGTAAACACCTGCTGTCATTGTTTTCAGGATTTTACATGCCTTCTGTATGCATTCTGTCAACACCCAAACTTGATTCATAGTCTGTAACTCTTAAGCTTGAGCATACGCTTTCATATTTAGGAGTTCATGCTATACAATTGGAGATTTTGCCATTTTTTTCCAACACTGACACATTTAAAAAAGGGAGAAATGATAATATCATATAATAAATCAAAATAAAGGCTGACAACACGAGACAAACAATAAAATCCCCGTCTGATAGTGATGAACCACAGTGTTTCGAGGCTTTGAAGTATGTGTCAAGAAATCCAGGAAGTCCCTTATCAAGCGTGTATTGAGGCTCGCTTGCAAATGAGAAGTGTAGGGACTAACGCGTTATTAAGTAACGTGTTACAGTAACTACGTTATTATTGTGGTAACGAGCACGGTAACTAGTTATTATGCCAAAATGAGGAACGCGTTAATCGTTACTGGGATTTAGATAGGGTCGTTATTCGTTACTTCTTGTGGTGGCTATCGCGGAGCTTCCACAGATTCAGTAACATTAGCTAGTGATGGAGGCCAGCGGGTGGATGAGGGAAAGAGGAGGCAGGAGGAGGAGAGACCC